GAGAGAGAGGGCGAGAGAGAGAGGAGAAGAGAGAGAGAGAGAGAGAGAGAGAGAGAGAGAGAGAAGAGAAGAGGAGAGAGAGAGAGAGAGATAGAGAGAGAGAGAAATTAGCCTTTTTAGAAAGCGGTCGATAGGTATTCGACATATGCACGGATTTAAAATGAACGTGAATGCTTCTCACTAGCCTGTTCACTGTTTCCATTTCCATCGCTAGTGACCTCGCCTTTAGGCCATCTGACCGGAAACCGGCAGCTAAACAGCAGATATTCTAGGGCAGAAACCTTGAAGATAAGCTGTGCCGCAATGTCATTCCTAGTGGTTTTGAACCTGGCTAGATCGGCTCCATGCGCTCCGCAGATCGGCAAATATGGAAGGCACCGGCCAAGTTCCTGCGCTGGTCCCGGCCAGATAAGACACAAGGACCAAACACAATTTCACATGTTGGAACGTTTCTAATCACAAGTCTAGAAACGAACGGTTAATGAGACCTGACACGCCGAATGCCCATTCTGGCCTGTAATAGGCTCTAAAAACTGGTCACAAACCAAAGGTCATTGTGGTCAGGGTCATGAAATTTTTCAGGGTCATGAAAGGGTAGGTGTAAACTTTTAATGGCAGATGGCCTGAACTTATCCTGACTCCTGACCGCATGGGTATTAATTTACTTATGGTGAGAAAAATAAATTACGGCACTGAAAGCTTCGCTGCTATCCGCCACTATTTACGCGAGTTATTCAGGAAAAACCGAGGAGAGGGCTTGTTTTATCACCCCTAATAAGAAGTAGGGTTTCCATTAAAGGGACCCTCCCACCTTCAAAAAAGTTAATGAATTGGCATGAAAGTGATGTCGCTCGGTTCAGAAAGAGCAAAAACGAATATCTACCAAATTTCATCGAAAAATATTCACCAGTTTTCAAGATATTAGACTTTTACTTTTGTTTACTTTTTGGGATCTCCGCTGTTCCTAGCGACTTTATTTGAAAGTGCGGCATTTGTTGCGCGCAAAGCAGCATATACCACCGCGTGCTACAAAACGTTTTAGTCAAACATTTAACGGACGTTCGAAAGCCTGATGACGTCATCAGATTCCCGTAATGGTTAAGAGATAGGGACCACGCTGGTCCCACCCTGCAAGTAAAGGGAAGAAATTTCTTGAACACCATAAAGCTGCGGGGGTTGCGACCAGGATAAATGGTGGTTTCTCAGCCTGGCCGCAAACTTGGCTATCTCAACTCAAAACTAATGTTAAGGTGGGAGGGTCCCTTTAAAAGTAAACGGTAACATAGAAAAATAATATTTCCTGTAGGTATATTTCTCAATTTAATATGGTGGCTGCTTTCGTAATATTAATAAATGGTTAAAGGTAAACAATATTGTAAGTTGACCATGGCACGACATTTCCATTCTATTTTATCCCGTTCGTTCTAGCCCCTCTCGCCTGCCGCCCCCCCCCCCCCCCCCCACCACCACCACTACCACCAAACCGGCTGAGTTGGCTGAGGCGAGCGCCTCCCCTCCCTTCATGCCAAACAGAGCCTGGCTGTCGTGACCTCTGGCCTCACCGCCCGAAGGCTCGCCCGCTGTCCAAGGACGCCCTGCGCGGGCCGCAGTGATAGCCTCTGCCGAGTCCCGCCTCTATCCACCGTTCACCACGCGCTGGATTCATTCATGCCTCTCTGTTTCAGCGTCCTACTCGTCGGGTGGCGCCACTGTAGTCATAGGCGACTGCAGAGAAGCCGCGGCCAGAATGCTCCAAACGGCGAATTTTGAGGTTTTCTTTTAATTTCTCCTTAATTTTTTTAATTTAATAATGGTGTAGCTATTGTATCACAACAGTATGAATGCGTCATTAACTGATTGCAATAAAGAAGGAGTTTAATGTCAGGCAGGGGAGCAAACCGCTGTCGTCAGTCCGCAAATTATTTCTCTCGTCAAACTTAAAATGTAGCCGCCATTTAGGCTACGAACTTGTGGTGTAATTGACAAAATACGACATTTTCAACATGGACTCAGGCGTGAGAGGTGACAGCTATGATAAAAAAGTAAAAATTGATGTCATAAAGCTGTCGAAACGATAAAAATTACTAATTTTGAGAGAAACGATTGAAAATGTAACCGTATAGGCGCATACGTTCCCATATATCTAGTCGGTTACAGTAAACGTTTTCGTTACACTTTTACAAGCGTACGGACACATGTGTAATGTTATCTACCTGGGCAAAAAAACATCGCGATTAACACCTACATTTATTATTTAACCAGCGTAAATAACATTATGAATGTTAAAGTAAGCCGCAATGACATTAGACTGCCGGGGTGTATGCACTCTGTCTCATTCGCTTAGCCATGTTAAAGTATAGGGCGCAATTGGGTTCTAATTGCGCCATCCCCATGGCGCAATTTACAGCAGTTGTTGGCAAATGCGCCCTTTTGCATGTTTCTGAAAAAGCAGCTGTCAGAAGCAAACGAAACATTCTTAATTGATCGGGAGGCTCTTAAATCGTAGCTAATGAGTTCCTCTTTGAAATGGTTACCAGTGCATGCTTATATCTCCAGCGGTTTTCTTACAATTAGCGTTTTTCCTTAAGGTGGCGCAATTCACCCTCCTTCCCCTAGCCCTCGCCCGCACATGCCATTTTCCCATCCTAGAACGCACATGGGGGGGGGGGGGTTGCCACCCCCCCCCCGCGCCATTTCGTTCCTGTTGGAGATAGAGCTTAGCAGTAAAGACCAAAAAGATTCTTTGGGAAGAGACGAATCCAATGATACCCAGTTTTACCTTCTCAGGTCAGTCATTGACCTTCCAGGTCAGGTCAAACTAAAAAATGTTGCTGTTTTGGGTCACCGTTGAATATCAAGTGTGCTGCTTATCAGATACCGATGATGATGCTGTTTTCTGGTGCCAAGCCAGCTAGAACCTCTTTGTCACACTACCCGACCAGAATTTTGCTGCTGAGGTCATTTCAGGTCAAGTTAGGTCAAGGTCAATTATATGTGTTTGTATGTCTGTGTGTGTCTGTGTGTATACTGATGTGTGCACCGATTGTTTTTGGGTCCATATTACATGAAATCATGATCTGAGAAGCTTTTACCAAAAATGCAGTAAAAAAAAACTTCACAAAAAGTAAATTCAGCTTGCCTAAAACGCAATTATCTTAGATGACCTAGGTTGACCTTGACCCTGACCTTGACCCCTGTACATCGTCGTATAACTTCGTATAACGGCACATCACGTCAGACCAAGCATAAGTCTTGGATTGGTTAAGTGTTGCCGACTGTACCCATCAGACGGCCGAGACCCATCTTATATTATATTCCATGACAGTGCAAATAAGCTTGTATCTTGTCCGGTGACAAACGCAAAATATGTCGCAGGTTTTAGAAACAATTTTGGAGTAAATTAATTAACTTGAGAGTTTGAGAAGAATAAGTGAAATACTAATAATAACCTATCCTTACCTAAACCACTAACAAGTATGATTACAGGTATTTTAAATTGTCGCATGCACTACTGTTTAAAAACGAACTATAAAACTGCTGAATTTTGATAGCTCGGACACTGTGTCGTAAGGCAGCCCCACACCTGCAGTAAAGGCGGCTAGCTTGGTCAGGCTCTGTTTTCCCGATCCTCCAACGCCGACCAGCAGCGCGTGGCCCTGCACCATCCTGAGCACCCGCTGGATCCGAGTCAGGTGCTGCAGCGCGTCGTCGAACAGCACCAGCTGGAGCTTATTGTTGCCGCGCTCATTGTACTCCTCCATTATCTGTGGATCGATGGAGGCTGATAAGAATAACACTCGTGATATTTTACAACATTCAGTACCAGCTTGTTCGATTCGTTCGTTAAAAATTGCATAACAATTCTGCCAAAAATAGCAGAAAAACAGCAAAAGGTCATCAACTCGTTAACACACAACTGTACCTCTTGGAAGAGCGCCTTGGATGCGTCGTAGTCCTGCATGTCTTCATAGAGCCTCGGCACGTCCGACTCGAGGGCGTTTCGGTAGTCGCCGAACAGGATGGGGTCTCGGAGCACGTACTCGGTCCATTCGTCGCTGTGCTGTCCGACGTTATCGGCCATCAGCTGCACCAGCTGGCCAGACACCACCGCAAAGTCCTGCCGAAAACGAAAGACACATATAAGGTACGGATCTGCATTGGTTCTACCAAAAGGGGGCTCACATGCAATTAACATAACAGCACAACAGTTAAGATCGGCCTACATCCCCTCGCGCTAGGAATTCTCACCTGGTCATCGATCAGTCGGTCGGCGAACACGCGCAGGCACTCGTTGCGCCAGCAGCGCACCATCTGCTTGGTCTTGGTGAACCGCTCCGGACTGGTCTGGCACAGGCCGCCGAAGATGCGGCTCAGGTCGCGCAGGTTAAACAGGTAGTGGAAGCGGGACGGCGTCGGCGGCAGCAGCCTCACAATCGCCTGTGAAGGAGTGGGGGCATCCGCATACCTATAATTTGGTCGTTAGTTGCCTCCTATATGTTTCTCAACTGGGTCCGTATATGAGCCTACGCCCGATTGAGGTAGAACAGCATGGGAGCGATCAACTATGCTATATTGATAGCCTGGTTTATTGTAAAAGGCCCATAGGCGTAGGAACAGGGGGGGCCAGGTGGGCAAGTGCCCACCCACTTTTCGAGGTGGGGGGGGGGCCAACCATGTGTTTTGGCCCACCCACTTTTTACTCGAGGCCCCTCGTCTCGATTTGAGAGGACGTCATCACCTTCCAGAATAAACAAACTCGGTAAAAATAAGTTCCACGAATCCCCACGCACGGACTCCAAGGGGCCGTGATGGATCCAAGGAGGCCCTCTGTTCATACTTGTCAGTCGAAGCCCCTGAGACTGATAGCCTGAGAGGTCCTAGTGGATCTGAGGAGGCCCCAATATCCACACTGGTCTGGGGAGGCCCCTGACACTGGCGGTCTGGGAGGCCCCTCTATCCACACAAGTCAGAGGTCTGAGACTGGTGGTCTGGGAGGCCCCTCCATCCACACTAGTCATAATAGGCCCCTGACACTGGCGGTCTAGCTGAGGCCCCCTACCCTCACTAGTCAGAGGAGGCCCCTCTATCCTCAATAGTCAGAAGAGGCCCCTGAAACTGATGGTCTGGGAGGCCTATCCATCTACACTGTAGTCAGAGGAGGCCCCTGAGACTGATGACCTGAGGGGCCCTTATAATCACACCAGGCAGAAGAGGCCCATGAGACTGATGGACTGAGAGGCCCTTCTATTCATATAACTGGCCACTGGAGGCCCCTGAAACCGGTGGTCTGGGAGGGCCCTCTATCCACACTAGTCAGAAGAGGCCCCTGAGACCGATGGTCTGAGAGGCTCTTATATTCATACTGCCCACAAGAGGCCCCTGACACTGATAGTCAGAGAGGTCCACTCCTAATGAATCTGAGGGGGCCCTCTATCCACATTTACACTTTTCTAGGGAGGCCCCCGAGGCTGATGGTCTGAGAGGCCCTTTTATTTATACTGTTCACAGAGCCCCCTGAGATTAATGGTCTGAGAGGCTCTTCCATTTATACTAACCAGAGGAGGCCCCTAGGATTGATGGTCTAACAGGCCCTTCTAATTATACTAGCCAGAGGAGGCCCATGAGACCGATGGTCTGAGAGGCCCTTCTATTCAAACTAGGCAGATGAGGCCGCCCCCTGAGAATGATAGTCCGAAGAGCCATGCGGCGGCAACTGGCCGTGGCCATATTTCGGCTCGGTAGGGACCCAAAGAGCTCATGAGAGCACCTCACGGGCTCCTAAGCAGACACGCTTATCCCCATAAGGGTGCCACGCCGGCTTCTGAAGGCTTCTTGTAGGCATCTAATGGCCCTTTCCGGCCTCTAAAGGCTCCACCCGCCTGTGATGGCTCCACACCAGTGTTTATGAGCGCCACACAGCGGCGCCTTTGAGGGTCATACTAGTGTCTCTTAGGGCCCTATATCGGTGGCTCTGGGGCCCCACACCGGCGCCTCTGTGGGCCACCACACCTGTGCATCTCAAGGCTCTATAGGTACATCTGAAGGACCCACACCGACACCTCTGAGGGCCCCACACCAGTATCTCGGAGCTCTGAAGGCCCCACACCGGTGACTCTGAGGACTCACCGGCTCCTGAGAGCACCATGTTGATGTCTAACGGCTCCACAAGGCCACTGAAGGCACAACACAAGCTCTCACTGAGCTCTAATGTCCTTGCACCGGCCTCTAAGGGATTTAAGCCAGCGCATTCATAGCTCCACACCAGCAATTGTAAGGGCTTCACACTGAAGTATCTGAGGGTTCCACACCGGTGTCTCTAAGGGCCACATACCGGCATCTCTGAGGGCCCCATACCGGCGTCTCCGAGGGTCCACATCTGGCGGGCACCCATCAGCGACTGAAGGTCCCACACTGTTGACTCCGAGAGCCCCATCTGCGTCTGGGAGCACCATGCCGTCTCTAAGAACCACAGCGGCTCCTCCGTACGAAAGATGGGCGTCTGCATGCCAAAGGCGAGCGGTTCTGAGACAGTAGGGCACCTACGTGCAATAGAGGGACGCCTATGAAGCCCATAGGGGCGCCTCAATGCGAAACAGGGGCGCCTCTGAGGCCTACATGTATGGGCGTCCACATGCAATAGAGGTCTGCCGCAATTGATCAATGCCATGGGAGTGCATTCATAAGAAACAGGGGCGCCGGCATGGCAAAGAGAGGCGCCTTCAAGAGTCCATAAAAGAGAGACGCCTATGATAAGCGCACATTGTATGCGACAACGGGGCGACTGTGGACATATAGGGATGTCTCTGATGACTATACATAGGGCGCTTATATGCCAAAGAGGGCGCCTATGAAGCTAATGGGGGCACCTAGGAAACGAGGAAGACATTTGTGTAAGGGTTTTCAGGGGTCATGCGCCGTTTGCGGCAAATAGATTCGAAAAAAAATCGGAGGGGGAATAAGTTTTAAAAATGGTGCGGACTTTCCGCACTGTTCGCTTAAGCGGTTAGGTACTCCCCTGGCGTACATCTGCCCGATCTCAGAAGCTAGATTTGGAGGTCATACTTGAAAGCAGCCAGCAGGACGAGGCAAAAGTTGGAGGCCCCTGAAAATAGGAGGCCCCCTGGAAAAGGAGGCCCCTTGACAGGGTGGCCCACCCACTTTTCATGACGTTCCTACGCCCGTGGTAAAAGCTATTTATATTTTATCACAAATAAAAGCAAATTCCATTGTATCGCTGCGGGGCGACAAAGACCGCACCGGGCGCCAGGGGATGTAGCTCAGTGGTAGAGCGCTCGCTTCGCATGTGAGAGGCCTCGGGTTCAAACCCCGACATCTCCAACGCCCCTCCTTTATGGCCATGAAACTGTGTAATGTGTATTGCGGTGCCTGTTTTAGCGATGACGCCTTCGGATAATGTTATTCTGGCCAAAAATAGTCCGCCTTATGAGTTGATTGACCTAAGCCTCCCTCCCCATGAATGTATGTGTAAAGTTAATTGATATGGGGCCAGCTCTGAAATGGCCGGTTTATCTGCTCCATACATACCTGGTAGAGCTGCATGGTGGCCATGGTGAGCGGCAGGGCCAGCTCCGTAATGGCCGGCTCAAACGGCTGCAGGTGACCAGACAGGATGCTGAGGGGAGGGAGACACGTCAGAGCGGTCGAAGTGTAAATATTCAAGATAAAGCAGTGATTTCAACACCGAGTTTGAGGGCAAGAAAGGGTTGCTATTTGTAAAAGTTTTAAATGTGCACATGTCACATAATTATCTTCAATGACGTCAAACACTCAGGCATGGGCACACATAACAAGTATAAAGCTACGAAGGTATGAAATATGATTGATAACAATAACAAGTCAAATGTTTATTAACCCGTGCATGACTGGGGGAGGGGCTCTACAGAGCCCCCTCCCGTTTTTCAGCAATATCTTCTAAACCGTTTGACGGATCAACACGTTATTTGCGGTACCCTCAGACGCATCAATTTGAAACCTTGTGTTTGAATTTCAACTTTCTAGCTACCATAGTTTGGCCAGAAATGACGTCAGAGTGACGTCATGTCGGCCGTTTTTGATGCAAAATACTAAATCAAAGCTAGATCCATTTTCTTTGCATGAATAAACTACAAATACACGTGTCACGTACCTATCAAACTGCTATCTTGAATTTTTGATTTTTTTTAAATATGTATTTACAATAACAAAAATTTATCTTTTGATTTTTTTCAAAAAGCTTTTAACTTTTCGCAACAACCGGAATATATGTGATAGAAAACACACTGATGAACTACATTTACAAGTTTTAACCCAATATCTTCAAAAATAGCCAAGTTAAACGCATTATTGTCAAAATTTTACAATTACATATTTTTCAAATCCATTTTTCAGTACGTTTTTGACGTCGTACAGCAGTATAACTGGCACCATCGTGTTTCTGAGCTCAAACTGCATCTGATAGGCACCTTTTTTGTTGAAAAAATTCATTTTTTCCAAATTTGACCTTTTCTGACCTTAAAGTGACCTGACCTCCGGTAAATTCAGCTGACAATGACCTCAAGTAACACAGACGACACTATTTTCGAAATCTACGAGTAAAATGGACCATAAAACATGCGTCACGTGACCGATACATGATATACAATTTTCGTGACCTAGGATGACCTGGCCTTGGCCTTAAAAATTCGAAGTAAAAGTTCGGTACCCTCAGTGTATCTAAGACATCTCTCAAGGAGTGCGTAAACCAAAAATGAGCCTGATCGGACTTGTCAGCCGGTGGTCAGAGCCTAAATTGTGAATTAGCAAAAATGTCGATAATTTATACTTTGAACTGTGACGTCATCAGTGACCTCGAGGTCAATGAAAATAGGTTTCGCTCGACAGTTTTTCCAGGGCTATCGGACGCCGTTTGAATTTTGACGATCGGCCCAGCAGTTTCGGAGATTTATCTTAGATGACCTAGGACAGGGGCGGATCCAAGGGGGGGTCACATGGGTCATGGCCCCCCCCCTTGAGGCCCGGGGGCCCAAAGACCTGCCAGGGGCACCACCGGCCTATCAGGGGTATCACAGTCCTGACAGGGGCACCACAGGACCGCCAGGGGCACCACAGGCCTAGCAGGGACACCACGGGCCTGGTGCCCCTGGTCCCTGACAGGACTGTAACGCCCCTGACAAGCCTGAAGTGTCCCCGGCAGGCACGTGGTGCCCCTGACAGGCCTGAGGCGCCCCTGCAAGGCCGGTGGTGCCCCTGGCAGGCCTGTGGTGCCCCTGGCAGGCCTGTGGTGCCCTTGCTAGGCCTCTGGTGCCCCTGACAGGCTTGTACTGCCCCTGGAAGGACTGTGGTGCCCCTGGGCCCTGACAAGCCTGAGGTGCCCCTGACAGGCCAGTGGTGCCCTTGCTAGGCCTGTGGTGTCCCTGGCAGGCCTCTGGTGCCCCTGACAGGCTTGCGGTGCCCTTGGAAGGACTGTGGTGTCCCTGGGCCCTGACAAGCCTGAGGTGCCCCTGACAGGCCCGTGGTGCCCTTGTTAGGCCTGTGGTGCCCCTGGCAGGCCTCTGGTGCCCTTGCTAGGCCGCTGGTGCCCCTGGCAGGCCTCTGGTGCCCTTGCTAGGCCGCTGGTGCCCCTGCGCCCGGAGAGGACTGGTGCCCCTGAAAAGTCTGAAGTGCCCCTCGGCAGGCCCGTGGTGCCCCTGACAGGCCCAAGGTGCCCCTGCGAGGCCGGTGGTGCCCCTGGCAGACCTCTGGTGCCCCTGGCAGGTCTGTGGTGCCCCTGGCAGGTCTGTGGCGCCCCTGGCAGACCTGTGTTGACTGGTGCCCCTGCTAGGTCGCTGGTGCCCCTCACAGACCTGTGGTGCCCCTGGGCCTTGACAAGCCTGAGATGCCTGGCTATGACAGGCTCGTGGTGCCCCTGATAGACCAGTGGTGCCCTTGCTAGGCCTGTAGTGCCCCTGGCAGGCCTCTGGTGCCCCTGCTACCCCTGCGCCCGGAGAGGACTATGGTGCCCCTGAAAAGCCTGAAGTGCCTCTCGACAGGCCCGTGGTGCCCCTGGGCCCTGACAGGCCCAAGTTACCCCTGCGAGGTCGGTGGTGCTCCTGGCAGGCCTCTGGTGTCCCTGGCAGGCCTGTGTTGACTGGTGCCCCTGGTGCCACTCACAGGCCTGCGGTGCCCCTGGAAGGACTGTGGTGCCCCTGCCCCTAGGGGTGCTCATGGGCCCAACAGGCCCGTTGTGCCTCTGACAGGCCTGTCGTGTATACTTGCTAGACCTGTGGTGCCCCTGCTTCCTGGCAGGCCTGTGGTGCCCCTGGCGGGCCTGTGGCGCCCCTACAAGGCCGTAGGTGCCCCTGACAGGTTTGTGGTGTCCTTGGAAGGACTTTGGTGCCCCTGACAAGTCTGAAGTGTCAAGGACAGACCCTTTAGACGCCAGACCCTGGCGGGTCAAGTTCGTCGGACTGACAACGATTTGCTTACCTGATAACGTTCCTGGTAAGTACTCACTACTCAGCGTCCACAACATATATATGCACACATACACATACACATTCATATATACTTGCTTACAATTGGTAAATGTGGTTGTGGCTAAGAGTTAAGATACTGACTAAAAATAAAAAAAAATAAAAAACTGAAAATGGGGCACCACCAAAATGAAGTGGACGAAATCCGTTGAGTTTTTAATTTTGGGTATAGGTAGGAGCACCACTCCGATTCATGACCCTCCCCTTGGAGTTTTTCTGGATCCGCCCCTGACCTAGGATGACCTTGACCCTGACCTTGACCCCTGTACGTCGTCGAACAGCATGTTCCATGATAGGTGGGAGGTAAGACTGGCAAAAAAGGCCGAAATCAGGGTGTCAAAAGCTCATAAGGCCCATGGCAAACGAAAGATGTTGAGAATTGGCCATTCGGGTCATGACATGACCTGAAAAACAAGGTCATATCTCCGAAACCAAAAATCACAGAAACTTGAAATTTTCAGTGGACATCAAGAAAGGATAGAGGAGCAGCTATACGAAAAATCAGCCTTCTAGCTCTAAAAATGTTGAGTGCAGAGCAGAAAGACTACCTGGGGGGTGGCAACCACCCCCCCCCCCCCACGTGCGGGCGAGGGCTAGAGCATAGGTCGATGAAAATCGCGATGAAAAATTAACAAAAAAATGTGTATTTAAAAATTCCTTAACATATTTTTGTATTTACCTAAATGCATCATACTGCATATCATTCGACTCGGCTGATGAAGAAGAACAGAACGACACCATTTTTGAAGCTCTAGCTTCATTGTCTATCGCGTTATCTGCAAAAACGTAGTTTAACCCTAGTTGACCTCAAGTGACATGACCCAGACCATTCTTATAGCATACAAACAAAAACGTAGTCACTTATTGATACCTATAAACTGATGGAGGGTAACTAAAAACCGTTAAAATGGAGCAGATATCTCCCATATTTTACAGTAAAAACCAGGCAAGCAAAGGTATAGGCACTGGAATAGAGCGACAAGCCGAAGAGGCTTTGTCATGTTTATTTTCGAAATTTATCTTTGGGCTAGTTTAAACCAAACGTACTCAGTACCTACATATCATCTCATGGAAAACAGTGGTTTAGTGGCATTGCTCTCGGTTGGGGGTAAGCTCGCCCACTCGCCCGGGGTTACCCCAATGTGCTAATTTTATTTTACAACAGCGATGTTTGGAAAAAATGTCATACTTAATTCAGCCTGCCTCGTCACCTCTCACTGCAAACACTTAAACGATCCTTTCATAACATTCGTAGAAATATTAGTGTTGTATGGTAAAACATTAACAAAGCAACATATCTCAGTTTTTAGGCTAGCTAAAAACCCTTCAAATAACATTTTTGCTCTATAACTTTAACAATAGGTATACAATTTTGACCCGTGGGTATTGGGCTGGTCTGTGTCGATTTGGTTGGCATCCATTTCGTTCGATTGCTTTTTGACGGCCAAGCATTTTGTAATAAAACAAAAAAGATACATCGCATCGAGGTGCCCGTGTCGTATTATCATGCGTTCTACTTAAGAATGATTCGGAAACTGGCGTGAAGTCTTTTGAGGACCATCGATGAATTTCGGTAAAAATGACTATGTAGTGATTTGAAACATTTGCATTTTTTTAGAATATTGTTGCTTGTCATGCAAAAATGTTGGGTGTATCTTGGACAAAATTGAATGCTCTTTCAAACGGTACCAGTTTCAATTGCGAAACATATCAGGTTATGCAGCAAAACCCGTGTAATTAAGAAAGCGGCACATCATCGACAAAAACCATTTTCTCCAGCGATTTATACCATCTTGTTGTCGATCAATTAGCTATTCACAATCTTCCCATGAGAGGCGGTACATTTCTCTTGTCAACAGGCGTTGTTTCAACTCGCTCCGTCTAACGGTCACCTAAAAATAAAATTAATTCCAAAATCTCTCAAAAACCGCAATTTTTCAAATAAAAGTGCCCTCTCCGGTGCACGTGGCGCGTGCTATCCTCTGCATTGCACACCATTCAATAGCCCGTTCAATTCTGTACACGATGCTGTTTTTCCCGTGCCGGTCGGTCACCAAGATATTGCACGGGGACTGGACCCGTGTCGGCCAAAATTAGCCGTTTTCGCCCGATTTCGCACGCCGATTTATACCCTACATGACCCTACATATACCCTACATGACCCTACAGTTGCCAAAGAGCAAAAAAAAAGGTCTCAAGGTAGTCAAGGTTGGTCATATATGAAGTCATTCACGGTATAGTTATTAGGCCATTCCAACGCGTTTTAGTGAAAAAAATTAAGCAGTTGATTTCTCCCCCCCCCCCCTGCATTGAGCTGGGTGGATATGCGAGTTCAGATAGCAGCTATCAGCCGGGTGAGGTCGACTGTGGGGACAGTCATTCCCGGTTCAGCGGTGTAGGTCTGCCGGTCACGCTGCTATCGGTCCGATGGCGCCGCTCGGCCGCGCTCCGGCGGCGGGCGCGGCCAGGTCACGGCGCCGAGTTCACTGGCCGTCCAGCCGGGCGGAGAGGCGCCGCCGGGCGCGCACCGGTCCGCCGCGCGACCGGTGCCAACAGCAGACGTCCAGCCGAGACCAGACCGGGCGCACGGAGGCAGACGGGCGGCCGCCCAGCACAGCTGACCGCAGGGCCGGCCAGACCAGGCTGCCTGCCAGTTGCCACCTTGACCGTGCCTTGACCCAGCTGCCGACCTCAGCGGCACCCGGCTCGCCGCTCGGCGGTGTCCTGGTGTGACGTCACTGTCCTGAGCGGACGCAGCGGGCCCGGTGACCCAGTGAGACAAGCGCAGTCAGCGTGGACAGCCCGAGCGCGACCTCAGGCAGATCGCCCGTCGCCAGCTAGTGCTCCGTGACCCACGCCGCGCAGGGCGCTCCGTGTAGCGCTCCGTGAATCGCTCCGTGACGTGCTCCGTGACTCTCTGCGTGACGTGCCCCGTGACGCGGCCAGGACCTGTTCCGTGCCGCGCTCCGTGACGCGGTCGGGGGCGCGTCCGTGACAGGTATCCGTGAAGCCCGGCGGGTGGGCGGCGCGGTGTCACGAGCGATGGCCAACCCGGACTCGTGGGTGCGCTCCGGGTACTCGGTGTTCTGGTCGCGGCCCGGCGCCGGCTCGCACGACTACCAGCCGCTGGGCGCCACCCGACGGCCGCGGCCGCGCCGGCTGCGCGGCTGGCAGCCGCTGGCCGTGCTCCTGGTGCTGGCCGTGCTGGGGCTCAGCACGCTCGGCCTGGTGGCGCACCGGCCGGCCGCCTCTCTCGGCGTCAGGAAGGGCTCCTCCGGCGTAAGGATGGCGCTCAGCGGCGAGGGACAGGGCGATGTCGCCACTCAGGGAGAGGCGCACGGGCCAGTTGACGTGTCAGGTCCAATGGAGGCTCCGGGACCGATCAGCGACTCGGAGGGCAGCGAGAAACAGTCACCGGCGCCGGGAGACGGAGAACGCCACCAGCCCAAGGGTGGACGGCCAGCGGCGCGAGCGGCAGAGCAACTGGCCCCTCCCGCTGAACGGGAGCGGCCGCAGCCGACGAAGACGGCCCAGGAAAGACGGCCCGACGGAGACGCTGGTGGCGAATCAGGCACTTCTAGCACCGATAAGGAAGCCGGTCCGAGTGAGGTGCTGGTCGTGCTCGGTTCACCCGCCGCCGGCGACACTACCCTCGGTCAGTGACCGCTCGTGGGCGGGCTAAAACCAGCGCGGGGCTCAGCCAGTCGGACGCAGCATTAGACCATGGACCGCAGAATCGCACTTCTCACTGAGCTGTGTCCCGTGGCCCTCCGTTTTCTGTCTCAGTACCGTTCCTTGTTTGCCAAGAGTTGTGCGCACTGCACACTGCGTGCTCGCTTTGCGACAGCTAATTGGATATATGGCGGGTTTGATCCAAGCAATGTGTCCCATCACGGTCATGCTACATAGGTTAAAAAGGTCACTGCAGCTGCAACAGTTTCTCGACCATGACCTCGGATTAAAGGGACCCTCCAACCTTCGAAAAATTTAATGAATTGGCATAAAAGATGTCCCTAGGTTCAGAAAGAGCAAAAACGAATATCTACCAAATTTCACCGAAAAATAGGTATTCACCGTTTTCAAGCTACTTTTACAAGATACACTTTAACATTTGTGCACTTTTTGGGACCTCCGCTGTTTCTGTGACGTTCTTTGGAAGCAATAATTTGGCATCCTAAAAGTACGGCAGATGTTGCGCGCAAAGCAGCATATACCACCACCTTGTACCAAAGAGCTTATTACACGATTTAAAAATCGTTAGAATTGCGCTGACATCACAAATTCTAACCCACGCCCTGGTGTGTGTGTGTGGGGGGGGGGAGGCTAGTTCCCCTTTCCAGACACATGGTGTTTTTGCGTTGTTCTTACATTCGGTAACGGAGATACAAGTACAATCGTCGAAAAAATATGCACGTGGTTGCTCGCTTCTCCAGGCCCCCCAAGTGGCAACAATCATTTTTACGTCACAGCTACTTGAACATCTATGCTAACAGGCTAATAGGCATTAATGCATAAGAGTCCATGCAGGAGGTGCTGACTGATATATCGTTTTCTTATGGCGCGGCCGCCTACACCGTAAGCTCGCGCAAGCGTTTTCGCGGGGATCCTCTGATTTCACTGAATTTTGCCTTTAAACCCCCCTGGGAAGCCAAGGGAGCAGCCGGTGCAAGGTGTCATTGCAATAGGCAAAAGAGGATGAGTCAATATCCCTCCTCCAAGGTTTACATCTCTTCGATGCACACTACTTTTAGACATTTGATGAGGCATAATTAAAGAATTTGCATGCATGTCAGCGCGGTAAAAAATGATAGCGGTCTGCTTGAACCCACGTTCTGTGACCAGCCGACTCAAAATTACCACGCAACTTACATAAACATGAAAAGTATTCATTAACCTATAAGTATGTCCAGAAATTATCTTCGTCACTCAAAACATAGTAGTTTTAAAGGAAATTTAAATTTGTCCCAATTTATCTGCAACACCCTGTATGTATTTAGGTACCAGGCAGCTGACCCCTATCGCTGAGTTTCGATAAAATGCGTTTTACTCGATGTTATAGCGCATGCCGGTCCCGTAGCTCAGTCGGTACAACCTAGAGCGTTGGACTCCGCGTGGTGAGAGCACTCGTTCCCGGTTACAACAGTCCGGGTTCGAAGCGCGACGAGCGCTTGACGTTTATGGGCCTCCTCCTGACAGGTATGGTTGCGGTTGGTGACAGGCCGTAGCCAGGCGAAGTCAGTACCTAAGGATACCGGCCGTGCGCGGTTATGTGCGCACGTTAAAGGGACCCTCCCACCTTCAAAAAAGTTAATGAATTGGCATGAAAGTGATGTCGCTCGGTTCAGAAAGAGTGAAAACGAATATCTACCAAATTTCATCGAAAAATATTCACCGGTTTTCAAGATATTAGACTTTTACTTTTGTTTACTTTTTGGGATCTCCGCTGTTCCTGGCGACTTTATTTGAAAGTGCGGCATTTGTTGCGCGCAAAGCAGCATATACCACCGCGTGCTACCAAACGTTTTAGTAAAAGATTAAAAAAATCGTTAGATCTCCGCTGACGTCACAAATTCTAAGGGGGCATTCCAATGCACTAGCCCCTTAGAATCCGAAAACTGCAAGTTTCAAATTCCATATCTCCGAATTAAAGCATTTTTCGATGTTGTGAGTGCCCAAACCGGTATTTTCAGGCCATGGCCAGCAATTTGGCTATCTCAACTCAAAACTAATGTTAAGGTGGGAGGGTCCCTTTAAAGGTAGTGTGCCACCTTCCAATGATTTCCCATTTTATTTTTCCTGGGATAAGGAGCTTTTGTTTTTACCTAATATCGCAAAAAAATCAAAAATGGGCCTAAAATAGTGCTTTTTTCGCCTAAAAGTTTATCGGTTTTTCGATATGTATAACAACTGTAGTGGGCTAACCTGCAAACAGGCGTCGGCAACAATCGCGAATGCGGCGCACATGTGACAATAAGCAAAGGTCATTATAGACTTACGACGTACGGGAATGAGTTAGCAGCTGTCTAATCGTAGACAACACAATGTCTAATTTAAACTGTAAGCCTGTATTGGTATTGTTTCTTTAATTTGGCTGTCGAACATTAATTTATAGTTTGAAATATTATTTTATGTAAAATAATTGATATGAAACAGCCGTCTCTAAAGTTATGACCCCATCTCACCACATGAAAGTGGCAGAAATGACAATGATCAGCTGACGCATTTTTCTTGGCCGAAGTCAGAGCGCGCGGCCCGACGCACCACCACCGCACCACAAAGTATGAGCAGAAGCCGCGCCCAAAGCCAGGGCCCCGGTAACGTAAGGTAGCCGAGTCGGGGCAGCGTGCGCTGACCCAAGCCGGGGCCGCGGCTTTGGGCGCGGTCTACCGCATCCCCGGGCAGCTCCGGGCTATCACATGACACCGGGAGGACGCGCGGCCCCGGCTTGGGTCAGCGCACGCTGCCCCGACTCGGCTACCTCACGTTACCGGGGCCCTGGCTTTGGGCGCGGTCTACCGCACCACCTAACAGGCGTGTTCGAAACCGCAGGAGATGATGATGAACGGGTTTATCGAAACTTGATTGGATGAGCCTATCGGTAATAGCGATTTCAGTGTGTGCATTTATTGTTCATAGTGGTGTGAAATGTGGTTGGGGTACGACCGACAACCCGTCGGGGCGAATTTCGCACTGGGGTACTCAAAATTTGAAGAATTTAAGACGTTTCCATGAGTTCTGAAGGTATGGATAAGTTCTAAAAATCCGGTTCTCCTCTAGGCCATTAACTCCATACGGTCCAGGAAAGCTGGCACACTACCTTTTAAACTTTGGGCTCTAAATTCTGCCATAGCACCGGAATTGCGCGATCGGAGGCCGGGTATAGGGCAGGGTCAACGCAACAAGCTTCGCTTAACGGGGCTCTGTCCTTGTGAATCCTTTCAATCAAAAGGTTCGGACTAAATTAAAAAAAAAAAAAATCCCTGGAACGGTAAAACACTTTAACGGTAAAAAACTTTATCTCTGACCTAACCTGTGACGTCATCGGTGACCCCGAGGTAAATGAAATTGGATTTCCTTAGACAAATTTGACAGGACTATCGAGCACCGTTTGAATTTTGCGGATCCGTCAACTAGTTTCGGAGATACGTGGGGGGGGCAAAAAAGCCCCCCACCAGGTCGCGTTATAAACAGTTCCCTCCAGGGCGCGGGCTAAGGAGGTATTCAAATGCATTAGCCCCTTAGAATCCGAAAACTGCATACTTTGAATATAAATATCTCGGAATTTAAGCAGTTCTCGATGTTGTGACTTGTGAGTGCCAAAACCGGCGATTGCAGGCCAGGGACCCCAATTTGGCTATCTCAACTCAAATCTTAAGCTAAGGTGGGATGGTCACTTTAAGCATGAAAACTGATAAAAGATGTACCAACAAAATAATTTGAAAAAATGGTATATACAATACATATTCCCTTTAACTGAGATAAACTCTGACAAACTTTCGGCGACAGAGCTTTGAGAGCGCCATCGAATGCGCTCTAACGCGACGAACCCGCGCATCCCCTCCCGTTCATTTTTAATTCATTTCATTTATTTATTTTCAAAATTTGACCTTCTCTGACCTGAAGTGACCTGACCTCCAGTAAATTCAGCTGAAAATGATCTCAAAGACACAGACGACATTGTTTTCTAAATCTACGAGTAAAATGGACCATAAAACATGCGTCTCGTGACCCATACATGATATACAATTTTCGTGACCTAGGATGACCTGGCCTTGACCTGAAAAATTCATAATAAGAGTTCGGTATCCTCAGGCTATCTAAGGCATATATCAAGGAAAGCGTAAACCAGAAATGAGCCTGATCATGGACTTGTTAGCCGGCGGTCAGAGCCTAAATTGTGAACAAGCAAATATGCTGATAATTTATACTTTGACCTGACCTGTGACGTCATCGGTGACCTCAAGATCAATGAAAATAGGTTTCGTTCGATCGTTTTTCTAGGGCTATCAAACGCCGTTTGAAATCCCCCCCCCCCCCGTCACTCGCGTTATGGAAAATATCCCAGTCATGCGCGGGTTAACTCTTGGTTCATGAGTGATCCATGACTGATTTGTGAAAAAACTTAAAACTGTCACAATCTAAAGAAAGATACGGGATTACCTTGGAAAATGCCTTGGTGACTTCAAGTGACCTAAGCGTTGCGTTGGTTTAATCGAGAAATGACCCGTATATCCTTGGAAGAACTTATGTATTTAGGGCTATCGATGGCTTTTTGGTATTGTTTTCGAGATAATTGGGCGTGCCCAAAAACACCCCCACCCCCACCCACCATGGCGAGGCTAGCTGAAACTCACACCCGGCCTGGCCGCAGCTCAAATTGAACAGATCAATGCACTTCGTATTTAGTAATTTTTGGATTTTTGCGAAAATGAGCGAAGCATCGGTAACAGGAAGAATTACAAATAGGTACGGCACTGCTTCTCTGCTCTAAATGTTTCTTTTTTTCGACGGCCGAAACTCCTTTCAAGGTATAAGGTCGACTCGTTTGCATGGATCAGATGCCGTACATACCTGCGAGCACTTATATCTACGTCCTACATTGACGTCCGTCTGTCTGTCTGTCCACAGATGCGTCTGGAAATACCAGTCCAGTTCAGGGAGACTGACCACAGTCGGTGAATAGCGGCAACGGCACCCGTTCAATACCATTCAGCTATATGAAGATATCCATAGATCAGGTCGTCCCCTGCCCACAGGCACCAGGATCTCATCCAGATGGCATTGATGTACGCCGCTGATGCACGGCATCATGTGACGCTCGCCGTATACCGAGCCATCTTGTTATGGAATGGATATCGAACGGTTGGGTCCAGGACACTGTCGTCCCTACTGCCGTGCGTTTCTGGGAAACGATAGGAATCTGAACTGTGATTTGTATGGCTAAAACCACTTCTCGTGGTTCGAGAGCCCCACAGACGTGCACATTTATGTAAATGTTTATGTCATTAGTAATACATTGCTATTGTAGGGAGGGTTTTCAACAGGAGCGAGGGAACGGTGGCTGTTTTCCAGTTGATGCAAGAGAGTCTTAGAGAGCTCCCTCTTCCGTTCATCTTTTTTGGAGGCAGGTCAGTCAACGGTGTACACAAAGATCTAAGGTCACTGCACCTTTCTGGGAATGGATGGAATAACTTTACTTGTGACCGGTCGGGTTATCGATCAATGCAATCTTTTAGTGGGATAATTGGGATCTTTAATAAGGTTTCGGGCTGGTAAATGAGCCACAAAATTATAAACGATGAAGAAAAAAGTTTTCCTACATGCCGGGGTATGTCTTAAGCACAGCACGAGCCGGGCAGTAAAACTATGACCAAGAAACTGTCGGTATCAAAATGCCATGTTATTTGATAGGCCGGGCAGGAAACAAAAGTTTACTGCCCGGGTTTACTGCCCAGGGCAATGACCTCTAAACTACAGTTTATCGCATTAGCCCAGAGGTATAATTGATAGGAAATGTATAATTGACATCATTATTGCATGATATGTGCCGCGTAAAATTAGAAAACCAACATTTTTTGGTAAAAAAATATCTGCTCTGCTTATCAAGGGGTTTGAAATACTTTGTATTGGTTACAAAGCCGAAATTATGGCAAGATATGCTTCTATTAATCGAAATCCGTTATCGCTTGTTCTTATCTTCGTTTGATACGTCCACTGATACCTTGGGCGTAAGTTATTGCGTTATTATTTGACAGTTGTAGTCCTTTCCTCAAAACAAACATGTGAAATATGGAAAATATAATGTATTTTACGAAAGTTCAGCCATAGGTCATCAACAAAGTACGATTACATAAATAAAGAAAAGATTCTTGCAAGAGCACTGGAAAATTCACGTTTAATCACTAGGAATATTATACCTTCTACCTTCTTCTTGTTCTTATGTCGTGGCAAGTATGATGTTCCTTGGATATCCAATTGCTGTGCCATTCTGAGTTGATATTTTCAGACGCGATTCTTTTTGAAGTGAGGTATTTTGATGCATTTTCTTCTATAAATTTCCTTTAAAGCTTTATCCACAGCAGTAGCGCAATCACTGTTCGGAAATTATGGACAAAACAATTGTATAAAAGTGTCACCAAAACCTGTCCAAACTACTTAGCGGGTATGCGGCATGTAGGAAAAATCTTACTGACCTCAGCCGTACGAAATTATTTGGAAACTCGGCTTGCAAAATTTGACTCCGGCCCTCGTGCTTCGCACTCGGGCCTACGTCAATTTTGCAAACCTCGTTTCCAAATAATTTCGTCGGCCCGGTCAGTAATATATAACTCTAATGCGTTTAACAGTTATCTGCAATGAAAAACACGACTCTCCAATCATTATCTTTGTCGAATCCAGCCTTCAACCTTCCTGGGGATTTCGCCATACCCGAGTCACGACTTCCCACGCGTGTTTAATTCGCGTCTTACTGCGTCTAACGATGACTTACGGCGTATACCCGGCGTTACAGCATCTTACGACGACTTACAGCGTAAAATTCGCGTCCTACGGTAGCATATCCTGACTACCAGCCACAGATAACAGTAGTACACAGATAACAGTACAGTACTACAGATAACAGATAACAGTACTATCGTAAGGTGGGCCTATTTGAGACAGTGGGGCTATTTGAGACAGTATTTAAAATTGTTATAAAATAAAAACCGTTTGTAATTTGTGCTTAATTTTGCTCAGGCGATTTACCGCTCGATTCCACACTTTCCTGAGCAAAAATATCACTTAAAAATCAAACGCTCTTCATTTTATAGTGATTTTAAATACTGTCTCAAATAGCCCCACTGTCTCAAATAGCCCCACTTTACGGCACTGTTATCTGTGTACCAGCGTATATCGCGTCTTACGAGTACAGTGCCGTCTGCCGGCCACAAACGATGTTCGCGCTTTACTGCGTGCTCCTACTTATCTTGGCGTTCCCTATCCCTCGGGCCGATGCATGTAAAAAAAAAACACTTTCACAGTACCTACTATGCATTTCAGACCCCATGAGACCCTGTTTTTCGGCGATAATTTATTTAATATTTATCCAATTGGCTTCAAATTTTCGCACAGCACATTTCAGCTCAAGCGCCAATTTTTGCTAATATGGTCTCTTAACAAAATATCAATTGTTAGGGTACTTGTCGTTGCCTCGTAATGTTAAAATCAGCTCCGTAAATCCGTCAGTGGAGTAGAGGCTATCCGTACGTAGGCGTGACGTCACAGGCACGTGACCATTAAGCTCCGCCCTCCCGGCGGACGGAGCGGTGACCTTGGCCGGTCAGTCGGATGCGTGGAGCCGACGGGGCAGTAGCCGCCGCACCCAAGGCCGTATGCCGGACCGGGGCGGCTCGCATTGGACGTGGCTGCCTTGCGGTTGCCGTTGCAGTAATAACGATACAGCAGAAACTAGCACTCGTTATTAGCGCACTAGCCTTCGGTATTGCATTTATCGCAAATTAACCTGCACCTTGTCAATCATATCTACTTTAATACTAAGTTCAGGGCTAGTGACTGTATTTTTGCTTGATTGAACGTCATTAAAAAAGGCCGTTGATGTCAATTGACTGTGAACTGATGCAAGACGTCGGTCAGCCTACGAAAAATTTGCAAGACATGGTAAACAGTTCATCATCATCATCACTCCGTTTATTACTTCAATGCACAAAACCATCATGAGAAATATCTGAGAATTGGCACAAAAGCACGAAGTGCTTAATTCGGGGTACCAACTCTCAACTAAAGAAATAGAACAGAACAGAACATCCAGCAATTGGTGATCACTGCTGTCACCGCCGCCACGTCGAACCCCGCGACCATCGTACTAAGGTACCGACTGGCCCCGCAGCCGCCGCGCACCCCTCCCCGAGCACTGCGCCCAAAGTATGTAATTGTATAAGGACAGGATCAGGAATCGAAACGACGTGAGTTCATAAGGAACGTTTGGAAGGATCGAGCCACCGGCAGACGCTCACCGCTGTTCAGGTTTGTGCCGTGAAGTAATGTGTCCAGCTGGGTACTTATTGGGAGTTGACGTATGTCATAATGGAGAGTATTAGTTAGTTCGTAAAGAAGTGTGTTCCTTTGATTTGTGTATAATGGGCATGAGAAAATGAAATGGCGAACACTCTCTGTGCTGGACCCACAAGCACAAGTAGGTGATTCCGTGTGTTGTATTTTAAAGAGATGTGAATTGAGTTGTGACATGTCGTTCCTCAGTCGTGTATGTAAAGTGTTGCCTCTTTTAGGTCCTAGGGTGTAGAATTCTGGTGGTCGTGGCAGCCCCAAATGTTTTTCTACGTGTTTTTTAAATTTACTGGGTGATAATTTTTTGACAGTGTCGGGAAACTGATTGTACTGTTTCTTTGTTTTCAATAGAAATGACCGTTGATAGGCAGTGGTGCGTGGTCTTTCATGTGTATGAGTGCGTGCGTTTCTGAGTGTTCTGTTCGTAGCTCGTTGTCGCGTTTGAGGTATCATTTCTTTAATGTATTCAGGCAATTTCGAATCTAGTACACTCAGTTGGTGGTAAAGTACAAGTCTATGTATTTGTCGTCGTATGGTTAATTTGTCCCAGCCTAGTTCTTGTCGGAGTTTGTCGGTAGATGTGCTAAAAAGTGCTCCTGTCGTCAGTCGTGCTGCTCTATTTTGTAGCGTCTCGAGTCTTGTCGCGTCATGTACGGTAATATGTCCGTCGTATATTGTGTCACAGTAGTCGAAATGGGGTCTTATGTATACTTTGTATATTTGGTCGAGAATGGGCCTAGGTAAATATTGCGCTATGGGATAAAGTGGACTTAATGCTTTGGTTACCTTTCTGCATATCTCGTTGACGTGCTCATGGAAACGTAGGTCTTTAGATAATATGAGTCCTAGATGTTTGTGGCTATCGTGTGACGGAATTGTTTCGCCTCCAAATTTTAGGGCGGGAGCTTGATGATTGTGGGAATAGGAAAATGTTTGTTGGATCGTTTTTCCAGTGTTAAACGTGATGGCCCATTCCCGACCGTATTGAAGGATAGCGTCGAGGTCGTGCTGGAGTGTCTGTTGAATTTCATGTAAGTCCTGTGTTTTATAGGAGGCGTACAAGGAGGTGTCGTCAGCAAAAAATAATACGTCGTTCTGTGTCCGTCCGGAAAGTCCGTTAAGATAGATTAATGCGAGGAGGGGTCCGAGTACGGACCCCTGTGGACAGCCGGCGTTAATAGTTTGGTAGTCCGAAAAAGTGTTGTTTATGCGCACGCACTGCTTTCTGTCTTTTAAATAGGATTCAAGCCAAGTTAACAATTTTCCAGATATTCCGAATTCTTTTTTACATTTAAACAGTTACACCGTAGCATTTAAGAAGTGTGGTTAAATATGAAATATATTATGCTTATGCGTAATCGTATGCTTGAGATGGATTCATGTGATTGAACACCTTCAGAACTAGCCCATTTTATAATTGGCTAGATTGAGGTCACCGGACTGACTTGACCCCAGGCTTTCGTGTTGAACTGCAAGTTAACTACTTTTTTAACTAAAAAAAAGTAGGCCATCCGACCAATGTCTTTACATTAGTTTGTAACCCCTTTACCTACATTGTCCCACCAGAGAGTAATAATCATACAAAGAAAGAAACCGTAGTTTTTGGACCCGCTACGCCTTTTCTTTTAAGTCGGTCATTTTGGAGCACAAATTTAACGACTTACTTCCGTTTATCGGTAAGAATCTTGCTCCTGTTATTGCTATAACCCGCGCCGGGCCGGTGCTCTGAGATTCCGCGCCGGGCCGGGGGGGAGGGGTGTCTGAACCCCCCACCCTTCTAGCTCGGCTCCTGGGCCACGTAGCGACACGCGGTAAGCGGCAATCGAGAGCACGTCCAAACTAAGGACGAAAACACTTCTGTCATTTTTTGGGTCAGGTCAAAGGTCAGGTCACCAGAGGTCACCAAAGGTAAAATGTTGACTATTTCAACATTTTGGAAACTGCCGACAGCTATCTCGGGAACC